AATTAATTGTAAAACTATTGTGCATATGAAGAGAAACTTGAAATGTCAAAGCACCTTTGAAAAAGAAGGACAAAGTTGTAGAAAATGATAGTTCTACTCTCTTTGGTTTGTTGTGAAGATTAAATTAATGACTGCATTTGGAGGACATTGGCTGCAACGTGGTGCACTGTTAGTACTACTGGTATCTACTACAGCCCCGTAGGCAACAGAAACAACACCAGAGCCAACTCTACAGGGCCTTCAAAGTGCACCAGGGAAACCCCAGCTGCAAATGGTGGAGATGGGCAAAGCAATTGGCTGTCTTCTAGGATGAAGTCAGCAAAACGGGCTAAGAGGAAGACTAGGGTTGAACATCTTAATGTGAGGGAAATACATTAAATTGTGGGATCCTCTCTGAAATTCTTTATAAAAACTTATATGTCATTTTAGTCTTATGTTCAAATTACCTTATCCCCCTGTGGCCAACACTTGTGGATAAAGAAGGAAGGGTCATTGAGAGTGTCCACAACTGACCATAATAGGAAGAGTTTTCAGGGAAAAATGGACAATTAAACAATTGTCTAAAGTTCACTGGTTTAGGAAGAAGAGGAGACTTGAAATAAATATTTAGAACTTTATACAAACTGAACACACAAATGGGTGAAGAGTGGGGGAAATATCAAAAGAAACACTGAAGGCCAGCCAGTGTTCATACTACAGGGAGTGACAGGCCATAGGTAAAGAGAAAGGAAAGGGAATACTTTTTTGTAATTTTATTTACAAGGAGAGAATAAAGTTTTTAATTTTACCAGAAAGTCAATTGGTCATATCCTATCACAGGATCTAATAGGATAGGTCATATCCTATTACCACTCAGGCTATAAGACTAACACAATTTCTCTGCATTCTACTTTACATGAAAGGAACTATTTTTAGACATCTATGGATGCATATGATAAACTGCATAGAAAAAGAAGGTATGGAATGCTCAGTGTTTATTCGGGGCATCTGTGGATGTTCTAGGGACTATGTTTTTTGAGATATGAACTTCACCCTTGAAATGCTTGGGGTTAGCAAGTTTGTCTCCAAAGACCATACTCCAGTCTTCTTAGCATATTGGCAAAGACAGCAGAAATACAGACAATAAAATATGCACATTGTTTTGTGAGAGTTATGTCTAGATTGTGAGCTGAGAAAATATGAAGGAGGTTGTGCAATACTGATATAAAGAGCAACCTCAGATAGGTCTTGAAAGAGCAATTCTGTAAAATTAGAGCTGTCAGATTAAATGAATTTTCCAAGAAATGAAAAAAAATGTTGCACATGAAACATGAACTAGCAAATCTCAGCAATATCTTTTACAGAGTAATAGAGCTATCAATTCACATTGGTGACATAGTGTCATGCAACGTAAGTAAAACAGACATGGCCATATATTTGATGCACAATCCAAGAAAGAAAATTCTCATTTCTATGTAATTCATATATCTGGATATAGTATTCATCTTTTATATTTATTTTCACATCACCAGAATATCTAGAACATTTTACTCATCTGGGATTTCAAATAGGTTACAATACATTTTGATTTGTGAATAGGCATCCATGTTTAGTATTTTTGTAACATAATCTCATTCTCTTTGACTTTGGAAAATATCTAGTCCTGCTTCAAGTACTTTTCAAAGCACGTTCTTTTTTCTAGAGTGGAAAAGGGTTAATAGTGAGTCAACATCAATATGTCAGAGTAATGACCTAACAATTTTAATATGCGAAATTAGATTAAAAGTGCTAGTTCATTGGTCCAATTCCAGGAAGACACTAGGTCCAACCCCAGTTTGGCTTCTCATAATGCATCATGCTCCTCTTCCCCTGAGCAACTTAAACTTTGAACATAAACATGTTATCAACTCTGGTTCTTGGAAACAATTTTCCATCAGGCTCCCACTGATGCATATTTAACTCAAGTTGCTCTCTCTTCCAAGGGTACTTAGAGTTTTGCTCTTCATACAAAATTAAAACCCTGTAGGAAATAACCTTGAAGAATGAATGAAGACCTGGAGGACGATTATTGTAACTTTATAAAGACAAATCTACTTGTTAGAATTTCCTAGTTTCCTTAGAGCATCTACCCGCTGGCCCTAGCTTCCCTGTTGGCACCGTATACTATTCAAGACAATTTTCAGTTATCCTGTCTATGACAGCAAAGAAAAAAATCCAAACCACTTGCAAGGATAAACAAGCTGAAATCTGTTATACAGAAAATTGGCTAAAAGATGTTAAAATTGGATAAAAGATGTTAAAATTATAGGAAAGAGATATAACAAAACATTTAAACCTATCAGATTGGAAAGGTTTTAATAATTCTTAAATTATAGTTAACATTCCTTTTTCATTTTTAATTTATTTTTACTGGTTCTTCTGCTAGTTATACATAGCTTTAGGAGTCATTTTGACAAATAGCAAAGAAATGCAGAAGCCAGATTTCAGGGTAAGGTGTGTCTGGTGGGGGGTAACTATCAGTGCTTTCAATCTCCTTTCAACAGCCTGATCTGTAGTTGATCCTCGTTCATTTCTAGCTCATATTTTCTTGTCTATGATGCAGAACAAACACTAGGGGGAGAATATTTGTTTTGACTCTTGCTTCTTTGCTGCAGTCAGTCTTCATTGATTTGTGACTAATCCAAGATTGCTGCCCCATCTCAAAAGAGACCTTCCAGTTCTGGTTTTCTACATTTTTCTGGTCAGTAATAAACTTCTAAATTCCATTCTTCACAAAGATCAGAAACCAAGCCAAGGAAAGGAACTATGGAGTTGTTGGTTAGGTATTGTTGTGGTCTGCACCCAGTTAATAGGCACCCACTGAGATTAACTTCAGAAATGAAATATCTAATTTCAGGAGAAGAAAAATCAAAGGGAACCAAAACAGAGAAAGTTATTAACCGGAAACCAAACCTGAGGCTTAATATCTGGTGTTACAGACTTTCAGCTTAACTTGAAAGTGAAAATAAAAATAAATAAATAAACACTTACAAAAAGGAATTTAGAGTTTTTCCTGTTTATCTCCCTGAATGCCTGCAAATATGAGCTGTTCCACAGAGTGGGAATTAATCAGTCACCAGAGCATAAACTTAATCTCTTGGCAGCCAAATAGGAACTAAGGGAATGCAATGATGTCTCTTCACATGAAAATTTCTTCAGCTGAGCAATGGACCAAAAGCATTCAAAGAAATGAATACAAATTTTCTTCCCATTATCAGGGGAGGCTGCTTCTCTACCACTCTTAAGCACTGAATCTAAATTGACTTTTCACAATTGCCCATATGACACGTTGTCCAATTTCCTTGCCATTTAGCAATGTGTCTAAAGACATATTTAGTAGCTTTACAGTTTTGGGTCCTATTCAGTTTCACACATTTATTAGGTATCTTGAAACATATCTTCCACAGACAAAGGGGTACTAGTACATTTGTAGTATAAATGCTTTCATGAGGTAAATTCACTTAATTCATGCAGACCTCACATATTATTACATAAGCAATTCAACAAAGAACAAAAGCTAATATAATAGTTATTACATAATACATATTGTAATATTATTGTCATAAATGCTTAAAGTTAATAAGGATAAAAGATGTTAAAATTATAGGAAAGAGATATAACAAAACATTTAAACCTATCAGATTGGCAAGGTTTTAATAATTCTTAAATCATAATTAACATTTTTGCATTCCTTTTTAATTTTTAATTCATTTTTACTGTTTCTTCTTCTAGTTATACTTAGCTTTAGGAGTCATTTCGACATCATCATAAAAGCATGGAATACAATTTTCTATAGTTCAGTCCCTAGTACTTTACCTGTCCCTCCCCTCCTCCTTACCCCAATTCCCTTCCCCTCTGCTTGAATGATCTTTCTGTTGTTCACTTTTGGTTATTTGTTTTTAGTTAGTGTCCTGGGGATATATGTGATGGTAAGATTCACTGTGGTATATTCATCTATGCCCACAGGAAAGTAGGAAAGTGAGGTCAGATTCATTCCACTGTTCCACTTAAAGGTTTATGGAAACAGCACTGTCATATAACATGGCAGAATGCAAATCAGTGCACAATTTCTAGTTTTAAATAGCACTTATAAGATGACTATCAAAGGGTATTACTAACACAAATTTCAGCATATCCATCCAGTATATTAAGCAGCTCTTGAATCAGGATAGGACCTCAACTGAAGCACAGGTGTGGGTGTGTGCTATATAACAACACAATCAACCTTCTGGACACTAAAGGACACTACTGAAAATTTCTTTATCTAGGTATTAAAACTAAGCACCATATAACATCACAGATTCATCCCATCATGGAGTTCCATAACTCTGCTCCTCTCAGCTCAGTTTCAAAAGTCTGCAGTGAGGACGACGATGCCTATGTTGTTAAAGTTATGATCTGGCACGAGGGCTTTCTGGGTGCTGTAATTGTACCCTGCCTCCCCCACGAAGCACTGTGAAGACCCCTCCAGAGCTGGAAGTATCTCACCTGCACTCTCTGAGCCCTTGGGGTCGAGGTACAGGGGGCAACTGGTGAGTTTGCATCTAGTTGTTGACTTCTGGAGCTTCATGGGCACCCATGTGTGCGTGCCTGTGTGCCCGCCCCCCCAACACACACACTTGCTGTTAGGGAGAACATGGCCCACCTCCATACTGTAATTTTGCTTAGGAGCTTTTAGGACATTGCAAATCTAGGCTGTCTCGGAGGTATCCACAAAAAAAGCATAAATAAAACCCCTCTGTGTTGGGTTAAAAAGCAAACTGCCCTGCTTCTAAACTTAGAACCAAAGATAGGAGAGGCTGAAGTCACATCTGACAAAACATTATACATGACCTCTTCTCTCCATACAGCAGGTTACCCTTAAAATTCACCAAAGATGTGTGGTCTGCACTTGGAATGGGACAGTGTTATCTAGAGGGCTTTTAACAGCATGCTACACAATGGGGAATCAAGCTGGACTTTGCATTTTGGGGACAACTTACTTTGGCACTTCTGTAGGATGACAGATGTTCTGGCACAGGAACTTTGAGAAGATATGACACCAATCCTTTTGAATTGCCATGAAGTCTATCAAAGAAAATAAGAAAACAATCAATTCTCTTAAATGACAGGTACCTGTCAAACTAGCTCATGTGACGAGAACACAAGTGCCATCACAGCTGTATCTGTCACGCTGTATGATCAATTTTCCAAATAAATAATTAGTGAAAAATTTACCAATCCCAGGGACTACAAAGTAACACATTCACACCAATTGAGTCATGTGGGAAACTGGGGGAGCTAGAGCCAGTGTTTGAGCCAGGGGCCCTTGAAAGTGAGTTTTCATGCCATTTCAGTTGGTTTTAATATTATTTCTTAATATGATAAACTAGAAATGATATTCTGAGCTCAGAGAAACAGGCAGGAGTGAAATCATAAAGTTTTCTTTGTAGGTCTTTGTGATTACTTCTGAGTTCCTGAAAGAAGCCTGAAGTGGGCTCAGGTTCCCTGAGGAGGTCACTCAGCCTCTCTGGCCTTAGCTGCCCCCTCTGTGAAGGGAAGATATCTTGTACACTGAGAGATGGGCAAGGTCCCTTCCAGCAGAGACATCTTGTGATTATCAAAATGTGCACCTGTTACAGACACACAAGCAACCAACAGGAAAGGGAATGTAACTCAGCAGAGAAAATGTTTTGGTCTGTTCAGAAGAGTAATAAAAAGTTCTAAGAGCTTCTTTTCAAAGATGCGATATGGTAAATCATGGAGATTTTGATTTCTGAAAACTATAGTTTCTTTAAAATTTTAGCTGGAGGTACAGCCATAGTGTGGTATTCCCACAAATATCATAATATAGTCAAATGAGTATTTTCCCAAGAAAATTGTATATATTTAATGTAAGAAAATCCAACCAAGGCAATTTCAACACTTCAATATGTACTTCCTTATCCATCCATGAAAGAAAAAAAATAGACTAAGTGATTGAGGCAAATAGACTCCTATATCTACAAATACATAGTGCAGAGAGTGTATCAGGCTGCACTCTAACGGCTTTGATTACACATTCCACCCAGTTCTCACCACAACCCTGGAAGATAGTGGGAGGATTTTAAGGATGACAAATTTTAAAAACTTCTTGTTTTAAACATCAAAGAACACTCAACTATTAAGCTTTGATCTGAATTCGGGCTTCCTGGTTCTTCAATCTAGTATACAACCCATATTCTCTACAGCCTTGCTTAAGGTAAAGAGAAAAAAGAAAAGGGAAAAAGAAGCAGCTGATAATTTCTTAAATAATTATCTAATCTAAGAATCATTCACATATGGAAAAATGTTCAAATTAATTATTTTAATACATAAAAACATGTAAAAATGGGCTGTAATACAAACAAAAACATCTTTGTAGAATATTATAAAATTTTCAAATAAGAAAAACTGGAATCCCTCTAAGCTAATTAATTTCTATATCAGAACCACATACATATTAATAAATATATACACACATAACAGCAGATAAAAAGCTACGAACAGTACTGAAATGATAGAACGATTATCAAAGATTCTCTTACACACTCCAAACCCTGACATCTAATTGTCTTAACAATCATAGTGACAACAGAGAAAAATAAAATATTATCTAATATTTTTATAAATCTATCATTCGTATTATAGAGTGAAACAGTAAACAAACAAACAAAAAACAAAAAAACCCACAAAATCATAGACCAAGAGTATCAAAACATTGAATCTTATAGGATAATAAAAGATATCACACTATGAAAAATAAATATATACTCCAGACATGCTAAGGTCATTTATCAATAAAAATTATATGCAATTACATGCACATAAATAATACCAAGGAAATATTACTCAGTTTTTTGATTAGTTAGGTCTTCCTTTTCAAATACTGCATTAGGAAAAACAGGTTGATAAGAGTGACTTTTATTTTTCTGTGGAAAAATTGTCTTCTAATAGAAGGCATTATGTGACAGCTCAATTTCAGACCTGAAATTTTGAAAATATTTAGTCATCAGTGTTCATTAATGGTCTTAGAAGGACTTGAGAGGCATTTAGAATTACATGCCAAAGGCCAGTAACAGAATCAAAAATTACTATGTTTGAGGGCTGGGGATGTGGCTCAACTGGTAGTGTGCTCGCCTGGCATGTGCGGGGCGCTGGATTTGATCCTCAACAGCTCATAAAAATAAAATAAAGATATTGTGTCCACCTAAAACTAAAAAAAAATATATTAAAATTTTTTTAAAAAAATTACTCTGAATCTCACATTTACATTTGGAAAGAAAAGGGAAGAACTAAAAATATACTTGTAGGTTTATTATGTATAATTTAAAGTGTGAACTCCTATCTCAGCATAATATTTAGCAAGACCTATATGAAGGCATACCACAATCACAAAGCTTACAAAGCCCATTTTTATAGTGGTTACTTATCTTTAAAGAGCATTCCAAATCTATTCCAGGTCATTTAGAAATAAACATGAATTTGCTGAAGACATTTACCTCCAGAGTCATAATGGACACACATGGATTTTGCATCAGAGGACTAGGACTCATTTGGGTTAATTAGTTCAGTCCTGTTTTTCTTTGTCTAAATCAGTCTTCTCTCTTGCTTGAGGAGCAGACAGTATTTCCCTGTCAATGTGTCTCTCCTCAATATTAGCCCTGAGCCTCAAATTTGAACTAACTTTAATCATCAGTTCCTGAGGACTATTACACTCATATTAGTCAGAGACTCCGAAGAAACAGAACCATAGGAGGTTACCAATATGACTACTTATTCCTGCAGAATTTGCATTGGAGTCAGTAGATGACATATCACCCAAGGTGGGCAGTGCCAACCAATCCTTTGAGAGTCCAAGTAAAATAACAGGTGGAAAAGGGTGAATTCATCTCCCATTAGATCTGAGACATCTATATTCCCCTGCCATAGACATCTGTGCTCCTAGATCTCAAGCCTTAGGTCTCAGACCTAGACTTATACTAGCAGCTGCTCCGTCCTCAGGCCTTTGGCCTCACCAAATCATACCATTGGTGGTTCCCCAGCTTGCAGACAGCAGACTGTGGGACTCTCAGCCTCCATGATGGTGTGAGCCAATTTCCACTAACTCTCCCGAGACATACGCCTATTGGTTCTGCTTCCTGTGGAAACCTGACCGGCACAGGTGTTGAACTGAAAGGGCTCATGGTAGGTAAACTCCATCTTTATAATTCTTTTTAAATTGTTCTCCTATTTTTCACTAATATTTCTTTTCCTTTTCTCCCAGGTTTATTCCTTTTCCTGTTGGAGATACAAGACACAGTAAAGGAAAATGAAGTAGAATTGCAGAACTCTGAGATAGAACAATGCCATATCAAAATCACCTTGAGCTCTATTTCTGAGTAATGAAAGATACTTTATTTCTGAGGAGATAAAGACCACTCACATTCACTAAGGAAAAAAAAACAGAAATAAACATAACTTATAAGGATATGAAATCCTTATATAATATACTTTCTTTACTGTAGTATACTTTATCAATTTTAAGATTACAAAATGAGTCAAATATTATTTTGACACAATTTGGAAACAGGTATATTTCTTTTCAATTCTCCTTTATAAATCAACTAATATAATACTGAAAACCATGGAGGTTATTACTATGTCCATTTCTTTTGCCTCTCAATATAGAATCTGAAGTCCTCCAGGGGAAAATGGTAACATAATAACATTCCCTGAGAGAGAAATAAGAGAGAAAGTTGAACTTGTTGAATTGTTTTTCTTTCAGAAAAGTAAATTTTGCTCTAAGGTTTGATGTTAGGACAAAATAGATATATTATAGTTGTGAACAAGTCTTCCACTCTACCACTTTGTTTGAGGATTAATGCACATAAATCAATCAGGATGGTTTGTCCCAATAGCTCTGTTGAGATTTTTTAATATCATAGTTAACAAAAGTTTTCATGCATACCTAAGTAATCAAAAGTCAAAGGACAATAATTCTGGTGTCAGAAGATCAGATTTAGCTCCTCACAAATGCCCTATGACCATGTTTCTGCCACATTATTGCCTTGGCCCATGGCTTCCCCTGTAAAACAGGTCCAGTGTGGTATCAGTCACACAGATTTGTTGTAAATAGCAAATGAGATTACCTATGTAACATGCTCAATGTGATATTTGTTGCCTATTAGGTCAATCTTAGCTATTATTTCCTCTTCAGACAAATTACTTTTAATTTACCATTTCCTTCCTTCCTGAGATTGTTTAATGTTTTAAATTTTTCTTGGTGAATTATAATTATCCCTAATAGTGAGATTCGTTGTGACCTATTTATGTGTTCACATAACATGGTTTGGTCAATCTCATGACATTGCCATTGCGACCCCACCACTTCTGCAAGTATCTATCTAGTCCCTTCAGCACTCCCCCCTCCCCCCGCCCCTCTAATGTATCCTGAGGTGTCAGCAGGGTAGGAGATGACAGTCTGACAGTCGCTGCTGTCTCTCCTGGAGCTTCCTTTGCTGCGGGCCAAAGGGGGTAGTGAGAATTGAAGGTGGAGATAAAGCACAGAAGGGGAAGAGGGTGGGTATGCAGGTGGGGTGAAGAGTTTGGTAAGGCAGATGTGTGAACACTGGATGGGTGTCTGGACCAAGCATGGGAGGGGCTCACAGATGCAGAAGAGTGCTTGAGGCAGGGAGGCTGGCATCCAGGTGGGGCTGGAGCAGAGGTGGGGAGACTTTCAGGAAATCTAGCCACTTGAGATTGGTAAGCAGGAGGCGGGCGTTGGCTTTGAGCAGAATGCTGGACAGAGGTGCAGAGGGCCAGGGTGGGACAGGTGCTCAGACTCTCCTGGCTGCAGTGGAGACAACACTCTCCCAGGAGTCAAGGTCTGCACAAGGACAGCAGCTGAGAGGAAATGGCTTTCATTGGATTTCAATGTCTTTGAAAGGCTTCACCGTGCCTGCACTCTTCTCGGCATTAGTCACTCCCCTCTATTCACAGAACCTTCAAAGCATCCTTAGTCCTGGCTATTCCTGTTCCTGCCTACCCTCTTCTTGTCACACTCCCCCTGACAGAGGCTCTCTCCTCTC